CAGAGAGAGAGGGAGACACAGAATCTGAAACAGGCTCCAGGCTCTAAGCTAGCTGTCAGCACAGAGCCCCATGCGGGGCTCAAACCCACGAACCGTGAGATCATGACCTGAGCCGAAGTGAGACGCTTAACTGACTGAGCCACCCAGACACCCAAGCTTTCATTTCTTTCAATAGCTGAGTAATATTCCACTATATGTACATACTATGTCTTTTTTTAATTTTAAATTTACTTTTTTTTTTTTAATGTTTTATTTATTTCTAGGAGAGAGAGAGACAGCGTGAGCAGGGGAGGGTCAGAGACAGAGGGAGTCACAGACTGAAACAGGCTCCAGGCTCTGAGCTGGCAGTCAGCACAGAGCCTGACATGGGGCCCAAACCCACAAACCGCGAGATCATGACCTAAGCAAAAGTCGGACACTTAACCGACTAAGCCACCCAGGCGCCCCTTAAATTTACTTTTCAGTAATCTCTACATCCAGCGTGAGTCTTGAACTCATGACCCTGAGATCAGGAGTTTCATGCTCTTCTGACTGAGCCATCCAGGTGCCCCAAGGATAGTTTTATTTTAAAAAATTTTTTTTTCTTGAATGTTTATTATTTATTTTTGAGAGAGAGAGAGAATGCAAATGGGGGAATGGCAGAGAGGGAGGGAGACGCAGAATCCAAAGCAGGTTCCAGACTCTGAGCAGTCAGCACAGAGCCTGATGTGGGGCTTGAACTCATGAACTATGAGGTCATGACCTGGGCCGAGGCATTGGCTCAACTGACTGAGCCATCCATAGGATAGTTTTGATTATGCTTATTTTTTGCTTTAGAATCTAAACCTTGCAAAGATGAGACTCTGCTTTATTGAAGTCTAAGGGAGAGATTGATGAGGGACTGGTTGAAGACAGCAGTAGTAGGAGGGAATGGACATTAAAGATATTAAGTGGTAAAATTTTGCAGGTATATTTAAAAATTATATACCTATTGTGGGAAATTTTGAGCCTACAAAAAAGTAGGGAGAATCCCTAGGGACCTACCTCGACCAGAGGTCAAGTCATGGCCAGTCTTGTTTCATTTATACCTTTCCATACCCCATTCTTCTGATTATTTTGAATTTTGTGAGGAATCACTGACACACATGGATATTTAAAAAATAGACAATATATTAGGACACAAAAAAAATTGACAAGAATTTCTTAAAGCCATCAATTATCTTTGTTCGAATTTTCCTGGTTGTCTCTTAAATGTTTTCTTTTTCTGTTTCTGTCTTTCTCTTAATTTTTTAATGTTTATATATGTGTTTTGAGAGAGAGAGAGAGAGAGAGAATGTGCATGATTGCGAGCATTGGGGAGGGGCAGAGAGAGAGGGAGAGAG